CAGAGACGCACTTCGCTTCGAAGTGTTCTGCATATTTGAACACAGCTATGCTTAAAATGATTCGTTGATTTTGTGATCTAACACTATCTGACGAATGTTTTCATTGCATCTTCGATGAGTTGCATAGTTGAAGAGAAAGTCCTGGTTGGAACTGATCACTTGTGACGTGTTCATTATCTAATAGGTAAATGATGCACTACGTTGTATACCAAGGAAGTTTGTTGAATAGATATTTTTTCAGAAATATTCGCCTAGTATATGAGCTGTTCTTTTTAAGGAACATACGACAATTGCTTACAAGTGATTGATATACTTGAATGGAATTATGCTTAGAATTATTCATTTTTGCAACGATTACTTGCTTCATAATGACGACAGAAGTTTTGCCTCATGGCTAATGGTATACACGAGAGGAACGATTGTTGCTGGCATTCATTTACTATGTAATTGGTAAGTAGGTCACAAAGTTTAGATTTGATTCAAAGTGTTGACTATAGATTGAACAGGATGCTTGTTGAGAACATTCGATTCTTGGGTGATTGTCAATCATCCAATACATGCGATGGCTTACTTGAAAGTAAGTATTAAATTTGAATACCACTTTTGCTGTGGTTATTCAAACAATATGAGATCAATGATGTGATGTTATATTAAAAATAGATCATTGAACTTACAACAAACTTGAATATATTTTAAGTAGCCAGCAACGACAACAAGAGCAACAGGTTAAAGGTTGTACGAGATGTTGGCTAAATGACTTAAACATTACATGCTCTCGTGTGATTTCTTCATATATTCTCGCCGAACTCTTTCTCTTAAAAAACTTTTGATGTTGTATGAATGCAATCAAATCTTGAAGGGTGTTTGTGTCGTTTTTACTTTTGAAAAGATTATTTTGAGTACTTGAAAATCTTATCAAACACAAACTCTAATTAAGCTTAGATTACTTTTATATAACGTATAACTTTTACAGGATGAGGTTTTAGTCTAAAACAGCAAATGTACATAAGATTACTAATCAATGGTGAAGGTTTTATTAGTAGTTAGTTTCCTAGTTCTTAAAATTTTTTCGTTCAGTTTTTTCTCTTTTTATTTTGTCGCAATGTATATCATGCTTTTTTCATTTTAAGAGTTTTTCTTTACATTTAATCATCATTTATACTCACTTTAACATTCTTAATAAATAATTTATATGAAAATACGGAAAATAGATGTGAATTTATCAAGGTGATTTTTTTCCAAACTAATAAAGAAGTATAATGCCACAGGACTTTCAAGCTATGCATGTTATCAATCTTATAAAGAGCGGTATCACTGCATTTCATACTTACGAAACGGAGAGTTATGTTTTGTTTTATCTGATGGTGAACAAAAGAGTAGGACAAAAACTATCCAACATCTATTTTTCTTTTTCAAATATCTTAATTGAAAAAAATAAATAAATAATCCTTAGTTTTCGGTCAGAAGATACAACACTTGATTTGTATAGAATATCTTATGTAGTTCGACCAAGAAAAAATTTCAAAAACTTTTTCCTGAGACCTATTTTATTTTCATATCCAACTATGCCGTCAAAATGTTTTCAGTCTTATCCGATTATCGGGAGATAATCCCTATCCGTTAAAAGGAAATCAAAAGGAGCATCAAACAGCATGTTCCTTCTTAAACACTGTTGTTCTCTACATGTCATTATAGCTTTTATTATCTGTGAATGAGGTTATAACAGTTTCAGAAGAAAAGAGCTGAAAAAATAAGTTCCAAGTCTAAACTCCAGCTGTTCGACGAGGTCTTTCGAATTGTTTATCAATTTTTTTTCTCTGCATTCGAACTGTCATAATCATAGACCGGAATTTCGCCTCAATTAGTGTTCGGATGAAAATATCAAAATGACTAAGTTTATTGATAAGAGTTTACAAATAAGACTCTGGTTAGTAATACTATCGAAATTCGACGTATTTGCTAATGATTATCACTTTAACTCTTTCTTCTCTATAGCTTAATTTGGAGGCCCCAAACCGAAATTCGCTCAACAACGTCAATATTATAGTCCCTAATACATATAGGAAGAGTTTGAAGCAAATCTATCAAGTACCAATGCTTTTCACTTATACCGCATA